GGAGCAAGAGAGAGGGAGAGCGAGGGATAGAGTGAGAGCGAGATTGCCGGTTGCTTGAGGCGGAAAGCAGGAACTACATCATGATCACTTGAGAGCTCCTGAACCGAACCAGCCGATCCAGCTACAAACCCTGTAGATTAAAGCCTGCCCCGGCTCCGCCTGCTTATTCTCCCGAGAGCATCTTCGATCTGCCTAAAGGCCATGCTGGGCGCTGTCCTCTTCAGCGGCGGCTCCTTCTTCCGATGCTTGGTCACACAATCGCGGCTGAGCCGAATCTAAGGGGTCGGGCATTGGAGTGGCCTGTCTGACTTAAACCAGCGAGGCGCTGTATTATTCGGGGGTCATTATCTCTGGATGCAAACCCACTAACGTGCTCCTGCATGCCCTCAAAGCTAGTTTTCGCCTTAACGAGGCGTAGAACCTCTGAGGCCGTGACTCCCAGACTCAGTCAGGTTGAACTACTTGCAGTCAAAAGAAGCATCAAGAATTTCCTTGTGGCATCCATGCATGAATCGCAACTGGTCGCGACTGAGTCGCTACAGATCTCACACACCCTGGCGACTGGGTACCTTTAGTAAGGACATGCCTTATAGCCAGAAACTTCCAAACTCAATCAGATCCGTATTCCTGCTACACCATCGTGTACAAGACATGACGACTCTCAATTGGGACTGAACCCTAGACCGCAAAAGCTAACCCCAACCCCGGCTTAACCCCAAAATCAATAAATAGACAAGAGCGTAAAGCCGAAACACTAAAGCACGTTTTGCGAGCCTGCAGAGAATGGTCGGATGTTGAAAAACTCCGGAAACCCCAACCCCAAATCCTCAACCACCTCCTCTCCCCCTGCCAGGAAAAAACAGGATACGAAACAACAAGAAGGGAAAATGCGAAAGCAAAAGGCATCAACAACATGTTGTTAGGTGGTCCGAGATGCCGATCGTAGCCCCAACAGCTGCTATGGCCCGGGGCGCCATTGCGGCCACCTTGCCCCCCGACTGTGGGGCTCGGGGATCGCTCGGGGGTTCGGGGTGTCAGGTTTCGGGAATTTTAGGGTTTAGGGTTTAGGGTTTAGGGTTATAGCAGGGTTGTGGGATTTCCAGCTTAAGGCTTCGAGCGGACAAGGTGTAGGACCAGCTTTGACAGGTTTAGGGCTGTAGAACTGTTGTCGGGGTGGCGCCATGGCCTTTGTAGATGTCTTCTTGATGACTTGACTGAGTTCAAGGCCCTGTTGTTCTGGTATCTTTCTCTACACCCTAAACCCTAAACCCTAAACCCTAACCCCTAACCCGTAAACCCTAAACCCTAAACCCCAAGCTGACAGCAACCTTAGGGGTTTCTCTCCGGCCTCGAGGCTTCTATGGCGGTCGGGAGACCTCTGCCCTGCCATCTGCTTGAAGATACCAGGTTTAGGGTTTAGGGTTTA